TATCTAAATTCTCAAATCAAAGGCAAGAGATCGCAAGAAATCGCCGATATTTGCCCTAGGATTCGAGGAATTGTTGGATCTGGTATGGATAACGCTCTATTTTACCATTTTTGGGGGAAAATTTGAGGGGAACTAGTTTAGATCTTGGTTTTATTAACTGTCCATTGTTGGATCTTGGTTTATTTTTTATGTTACCTTTTTATTGGCTTTTAATGGAATGAATTTGATCATGGAGCTAATAAGTTTTCAAAAAAAATTGAATTTTTTTATGTTAAGATGATGTTTTTTTTTTTATGCGTTATTTGCAAAAATACCAACTTCCCCCCTTTAAATTCGTGTTGTAGTTGATCTTAAAAATCGTTTTTTTCTTTTTAGTGGATACTGTGGATGGGGGTGGATCTTGGTATTTTTGGTGATTAATGATGTTAATAAAATTTCCATCTCTATACTGTGGATGGGGGTGGATCTTGGTATTTTTGGTGATTAATGATGTTAATAAAATTTCCATCTCTTTTCATGCTAATCTGCAATAAGAGAAGTCTTGGGTCAAATGCAGTATAACGAATTCGATAAAAGGTACCCATTGAAGAGAAAAATAGCACATCAGTAATATTATGTCACAACCACAAACACTGTCAATTTTCAGTTTGGACAGTTTTTCGTTCCATTTAGGATTAGAAACTCCTTTCTCACATAACATTGAGAAATTATTACTATTAATATTTCACTTTGGCACTGCACTAAGCACCACAATCATAGGATTGAAACCAAGAGAAAGATAAGCTGATTTCATTTCTCATCATCACCCTCTTCTAAGAGGAGAGATTTTTCAATGACTTCATGTTTTCGTGGAATGATATAATTCTACAATATTATTTGAATCTTACCTGTTTGTTCTGAAAATTTAGAAATCAGAATGTGTCTTATCCTTCAACTTGTCGACATTCTTATAGAAATCCGGCTGCTTGGTGCCTTTCAAACTTGGATTTGCTTATAACAAGTTCAAGAAGGAAACATGCATTTTAAAAACTTTGTGCAAACTTCGCACTCTTACTTCCATTTGCCTGTCTGTTATATTAATTGCAGCCTGAAAATTGACAGTTTGTTGCTTTTAGCTTATTTGTGCAAACTTCATGCAAATTTAGAATGTTTGTTCAAGAAAAGAAAACAGAGGGGAAAAGAAAACCAAGTGCATGACTCGTTGAGTTGATTCATTCATGTGAAGTTACCTTGTCAAAATCGCCACCATTATTTAAGGTCATGCAGTTATAGAACTAACATTTCAAGTATCCTAGGAGCTGTATTCATCTTCAGGCAATACTAGAAGTCAAAGAGCTAAATTTATGGATACTCTTGCCATGTTATTGGCCCTATATAATGTCTTGTGCAAATAAAAAACTAATACTTTGTTGATTATGTTAGCTTATAGACATTTGTAATTCTCTTTTCCTTTATAGTTCTGTTCATCTTTTTTTGAGCTTATGGTGTCATGCAATTGTATTTCTGCTGATGAGTGATGAGGCATTTATTATTTCTTTTCTGTTTTGAACAGGTTTATGAACAGGTTATAGACATGTTTATTATGGTGTCAACTATCTTTTGCAGACTACTCGAGTACCTCTTCCACTTGATTTAAGGCTTCAAATTAGGTTGTATTCTTCCTAATCTTTTGACTTCTTTCAATTTGATTGTAATATTTTTTGTTTTATTATAGAAATGCCTCCAAAAAAGTATCCTTCTGGATATGATATTTTGTATATTGTCTATTGAGAAAGGCCCTGTGTTTACTTTTCGCACATGGCCCCTAGAATCTCAGATCCAGCCCTGCATGAGATAAGCTAGAAATGGATGAGGTCAAATTTTCATTTTCCAAATTTAATAAGTCATTGTTTTCTTTAAGCACAATATTTTCTTTTGCAATGATATCAAATTTGGAACCTAGCAACTCATGATCGGATTTCAAATTAACATGCTTGCTTTTCAAATCTATAAAATTATTATGCAACTTAGTATAGGGGGTGGCCGTGGATGATGGATCTTGGTATTTTTGGTGATTAATGATGTTAATAGAATTTCCATCTCTTTTCATGCTAATCTGCAATAAGAGAAGTCTTGGGTCAAAATCAAATGTAGTATAACGATTAACGAGTTCAAATGTTCAATAAAAGGTACCCATTGAAGAGAATTAGAGAAAATTGACAGTTTGTTGCTTTTAGCTTATTAGTTTTTTAGGATTCAAAAAGGCAGGCCTAGTAATTTCATTGTAACAGAGAGATTTAGACGTGTAACTAAAATTAAGTTTGGTGAGGATACTTCCACAAGTATGCAGACATAAAAAAAAAACATAACTGCCGTTGCTTTTAGCTTATTTGTGCAAACTTCATGCAAATTTAGAATGTTTGTTCAAGAAAAGAAAACAGAGGGGAAAAGAAAACCAAGTGCATGACTCGTTGAGTTGATTCATTCATGTGAAGTTACCTTGTCAAAATCGCCACCATTATTTAAGGTCATGCAGTTATAGAACTAACATTTCAAGTATCCTAGGAGCTGTATTCATCTTCAGGCAATACTAGAAGTCAAAGAGCTAAATTTATGGATACTCTTGCCATGTTATTGGCCCTATATAATGTCTTGTGCAAATAAAAAACTAATACTTTGTTGATTATGTTAGCTTATAGACATTTGTAATTCTCTTTTCCTTTATAGTTCTGTTCATCTTTTTTTGAGCTTATGGTGTCATGCAATTGTATTTCTGCTGATGAGTGATGAGGCATTTATTATTTCTTTTCTGTTTTGAACAGGTTTATGAACAGGTTATAGACATGTTTATTATGGTGTCAACTATCTTTTGCAGACTACTCGAGTACCTCTTCCACTTGATTTAAGGCTTCAAATTAGGTTGTATTCTTCCTAATCTTTTGACTTCTTTCAATTTGATTGTAATATTTTTTGTTTTATTATAGAAATGCCTCGAAAAAAGTATCCTTCTGGATATGATATTTTGTATATTGTCTATTGAGAAAGGCCCTGTGTTTACTTTTCGCACAGGGCCCCTAGAATCTCAGATCCACCTGCATGAGGAAAAAAGTATCCTTCTGGATATGATATTTTGTATATTGTCTATTGAGAAAGGCCCTGTGTTTACTTTTCGCACAGGGCCCCTAGAATCTCAGATCCAGCCCTGCATGAGATAAGCTAGAAATGGATGAGGTCAAATTTTCATTTTCCAAATTTAATAAGTCATTGTTTTCTTTAAGCACAATATTTTCTTTTGCAATGATATCAAATTTGGAACCTAGCAACTCATGATCGGATTTCAAATTAACATGCTTGCTTTTCAAATCTATAAAATTATTATGCAACTTAGTATAGGCATGCATTAATCTATCATATGCACAAGCGAGTTCATTGATGGATATATCACTATCGGATTCCGAATCGCTTACCACACTAGGGCTATCGCCTAGTGGCCGTGTGCATGATGATGCTCCACACTCACTTGAAGAATAATCCTCCAAACTACGTTGGATTTCCTCCAAGTTGCCTTGATGTGCTTCTATGAATTTCCATAAATTGTAAGCACTATCAAAATGAACAAATTTGTTAGAAAAGGATGAGTCAAAGGCATTAAGTAAGTATTCTAACAAAAGCTTGTTCATATTAAACATTATTTTATCATTGCTACTCCACTTAGATTTTTCCGAAGTGAGTATAATATAAGCATTTTCAATAACTTCCCATAAATCGGATTGTTTAGATCTAACAAATATGTTAAATC